AGGTCGTCAGCCAACTAGCAACGCCATTATCATTTGCGGTTTTGGCTTGAAACTCTTCCTCCTAGCTACACGCCACCACAGCCGTATATTGAATCTGAATTACTTAATCAGCGTGACTGTCAACCACTTGAGAAACTTGAGATGTATGTGTGTGCGTGTACTGGTGGTGCCCATTATCTGGCATCTGGCGACCACAAGCACCCGACGGCATTGTTGGAGGAGGAGGAGGAGGCATATTCACAAAAGAAGTCCAAGCCCAGCATGTTGCGTGCGGGTGCTTCACTTGACTTCCTGGCTGCGTCGTAGGCAAATGCATTGATGCTTTAGTGCAAATTTCCGTCGCCTTTCGCTTGGCCAAAGTTGATGTTATTTCTGCAATAATTCTATTCCGTGGGTTGTTGTTGTTTTCTCTACATTCATTTTCGTTAGTGTAATTTTTCGCTGGTCTGCTCTGCTTCTGCTCTGCTTTTTTTTAAATACAGTCGCCAGCACCGCTTGTGTTTTCTCTGTGATATCGCACAGGATGTGGCCGCTCCAAGCGAATGAATCGGACGTAAAAGGATGTAGACGCATATTGCTCCTTCATTTGGCATTGTGGGCGTGTTACGTGGGCGTGAGGCGTAAATTTCTGTAATTTACGTTAGTAAATTCTTGGATGCTTCAGTACAGTTAACTTTTGGCATTTTATGTATAGAAATTTGAAATTTTTCTTCAGATAAATCGGTTACTGAGATTACGAAAATTTATGTGTAGGAATTTTTATTATTTTCTATTTCGATTTTTTTTTATATACATCCGCTTTGCATCCGCCACCATTAGGGCTGATGGTTTTTTAAGTGAAGCCTTTATTTCATGTCAGGAATACACTCGGAGGGGTGGACATTCCATGCCAAAAATTAGCTTAATTATTTATTTAAATTATTTTTCTATAACTTTTGGATCTTGGTCGTATGGGGATTTGAACCCGAGCCTTCCGTATGGCACTGCGCATTACTAACCACTCGACTGCCCCGGCCGCCCAGTTTTTTTATACTCGTATATATATTTTTGTAACCAAAGTGTTTTTTATGCATTTCGCCAATTGATCTCTTTTCTCTTCTATTTACAGGTAAGCAATACTACTTATCCAAAGATATGCGTTGAATACCACAGTTATAATGTAAGTATGGTCTTGAAGAGTATGGAAATCTTCAAATATTAGCTAGATTATGTCATCCGAATACTCCCAGCAAAGAGCACTCACGATTTGAGAAAAAAATTGTATGAGAGGGGAAAGAAAGAAAAGAGATGGTGGAAAGTTAATCCAAAAGAGAAACAGATAAGATTAAATGTGGGTAATAGGAAAAACTGAATTAGTGAGAACAGAACAAGAATAGAGGTACGAAGGCCAAGGAAAGATGGAAAATGCAGACAAGACAAGGAGTGAAGAAAGAGAAAAAAAGTGAGGAATATTAACAGAAGATATGCTTAATATGTGAAACGACAAAAGGAGATAAGAAAGAGTGGAAGGATAGAAGAAACAAAAGAAGAAATGGCGAAGTAGTACAAATGAAAAAGCAAAGTGAAAAGTGAGGAAAAATGAGAAAAATAAGCAAAAGAGGAAGGAGCGGTGAAAGTGGAAAGGGTGGAAAGGATGGAAAGAAGAGAAGGCAGACAGAGGGGAAAGAAGAGAGATAAAAAGAGGAAGAAAGCAAACTAGACAGATAAGAGGAGAAGGATTAGAGGAAAGAGGCAAGAAGAAATAGATAGAAGAGGAAGGGAAATATACTAAAAAAGAGAGAGGAAAACAGTGAGGAAGGAAAAAAAGGAGGGAGAGAAGAAAGTAGGGAGACAATAAAGTAGGGAGAGAGAAAAGTAGGGAGAGGGAAAAGTAGACAGAGAAAAAAGTAGGGAGAAAATAAAGTAGGGAGAAAATAAAGTAGGGAGAAAATAAAGTAGGGAGAAAAAAAATAGGGAGAGGAAGAACTGGGAGAGAATAAAGTAGGGAGAGAATAAAAAAGAGAGAAGAAAATTGGGAGAGGGAAAAAGTATTAAGCGAAAAAAATAGGGAGAGGAAAAAGTAGGGAGAGAAAAAAATTAAAGAGAAAAGGAGAAAAAGATAAAAGTGGGTTCGGAAAAAAAATTTAAAAATTAAAAATGTAAAAAAATTAAAAAAGTGAATATAAAAAATCGTACAATTTATAACTATACTTACATTTCAAAAATTAAGAAAAAAAAAGAAAAAATTAAAAAAGTAGGATAATAAAAATCAATAAATAAAAATATAATTAATACATAAACAAAATTAATAATTAATAAGACGTGTAAAAAAATTTGTAAAAAAAATAATATATAAATAATAAATGAGGGTATATGTGAAACTTAAACAACTGTATAATAAGTTTCGAAATAAAAAATGTTTGTCAAATATTGCTATGAATAGCTTCGAAAAATAAGAGAAAACTGATTTTCCCACATTCTAGTGCAAGACACATAATTTCAAAAACACAAATTTCTTACTAATTTTAGTGTTGTGACATTTTAAACACTAGGAAAAATAGCTACAGTTCACAGTTGTAATTGTTTGCACTTTAATGCTACGAATTACCGCGGTTAAAATGCTGCGCTGCCACCAGCTCCTCACGAAATTCCTAACTTTATACTATTATTTTGCATTTCTGTATTTTATTCTAAAGAATTTTGTTGCTAATTTTCATGCGCCCTTTTTTCTACTTCGCACAATCTATATATATATTTTTCTGATGCCTTCTTCACACGCTGAATATTTACATTTTATGCTGCAGAAATATTTTTTTTTGTCATTTTTCCTTTTCTAATGCTCTTTGTAGTTTTAGTTTGAGTTGATATTTTTAGTTTTTTACCCCACACAGCTCTTACGCACCCAGCTCATAGCAGAAAGCAGGTCCGTTTTCTTTTAGTTAATTTTAGTTCCGCGCCAGCGTTTCGGGCCACTTCGTGTGTGTCTGTGTTTGCCTTTAGGTGGCGTGCCCAGTGGAAATGTAGCAGTTTCTTTTTTGACATTCAGTTTTTAGGTTTTGTTCTTTACTTTTGCCTCTGGCTCTTTTCCCTCATTGTGATTGTGTAAAAACTGCTGGTAGCACTTTCTGTTACTGATATTTGCATGATTATGAAACTTAGCTTGCTGTAGGAAATACTTTTTTGTGTGTGTGTAATGTTGGCTGTTAAATACAATAGTTTGTTTGATTTTGAATCCTATGGGTTTGAATGCATGTATATGCAGGCAATCTTATGCCTGCGTATCTATTATCTATTCCCATGGCTTTGAGTACTGCTAAATAGTTTTTCAAAAAACAATAATTATTTTTCTATAAAATCTTTTATGTTTTATACATATGTAAAGCAGAAAAATATAAATTCTATATTTAAGAAAAACGGATAATAAAATATGTCTTTTATGCGAAACTATTTCATTTATGAATTAAAAAATTTAACAATTGAAAATAATTCAGCAAAATTCTTATCTAAGGCTTTACATACAAAGTAGCAAAAGTTATGAAATATTTTGGTGATGAGTTTTACTGTAAAATTTTTTTAAAATAATATTAATTAATTTTAAATTTAAATAAAACTGATAAAAATATCACAATTAGTTAGTTAAAATAATTTTTCTTTAAATTTTCTATGAAACATTTAACATAAAATTTCATTAAAAAAAATTTATAAATTAAAGTGAATATTTATATCAAAAAAAGTGAATAAAAGGATTAAAGCTAAGAACTTAAAACTAAGAAAATAAAAATTAATAAAGAACTAAATTAGTATAAATAAAATTAAGAAAGTCAAAAAAATTAGTTATAAAAAATTGATACTTAAAAATTAATTAAATTTAAATAATAAATATTAAGAAAACTAAAATTAACTAAATTAGACTTAAAAAAAATGTTATGTAATTAAAATTAAGAAAATAAGAATTAAAGAAAATATTTTAATGTGATGAAAGTTAATAAAATTTGATTAAAAAATATTATGAATCTTAAAAAATTAAAATAAAAAAATTCAGAGTCAAAAAAACTATAGCAAAAAAATAATAAATTTAAAAAACAAAATTAATTAAAAAAAAATTTAAAAAAAAATTTAAAAAAAAATTAAAAAAAAAATTAAAAAAAAAAATTAAAAAAAAAATTAAAAAAAAAAATTAAAAAAAAAATAAAATTAAAAAAAGTTTAACTAAAAAAAAATTAAACTGAAAAAATTAAAACAAAATAAAATAAACAGTTAAAAAATAAAATAAGTAAATCCAATAAATAAAATAAAAATAAATATATATTAAAAACAATTTTTAAAAATTTAAAAAAATTAATAAAATATAAAAAAAATTAAAAAAATATTTTAACAATTTAAAAAAAAAATTAATAAAATTTAAAAAAATTAATAAATTAAAAAAGGATAAAAAAAAAAATTAAAAATTTAAAAAAAATTAATAAATAAAAAAAAAAACATTTAAAAAAATTTAAGTTATTAAAAAAAATTAAAAAAAAAAAAAATTAAAATAGAAATGAAACAAAAAATTAGATGTTATTTTTATCTAAAAACTAAATAAAAATAGAAGCAAAAAGTTAAAAAAATTAATTAAAAATAAAAAATTAATTAAAAATAAAAAAAAATAAGGTAAAAATAAAAAACCGAATGAAAACGAAAAAAAATTATTAAAAATAAAAAAATTTAATAATAATAAATAATTATAAAAAATTAAATAATATAAAAAAAGAAAAGTTAAAAATTATATGAAACAAAAAAAATGTCACATTATAATATATAAAAAAACATAACTTAATTAAATTAAAATGAGTCCTATTACAATAATATGAAAATGAATATATAGTAAAATAAAATCAAAAGAAAAAATAAATTCGATTTAAATGTTTTAATTTTTAATTTTATTAATAGCTGTTATCTTTTCATGTTTGTTTTTGGTCTATTTTATGTATATCAAGGTAGTTTACGAGTATTGCTGTTGATGTTTGATGTAGACCTCTGCTCATTTGTATGTTTATGTGTTCACATATATACATATGTATGTATGCATCATGGAATAGTTTTCTGCTACACTTTCTGCTAGCTTTCCGCTTCTGCAGGAAAAATTACACTCTCTCCTTTGACTCCCTTCCCCTGCTCACTGTATGCTTTTTAAATATTTTCGAAAATTCTCTTGACACAAGTTTAACATTTGGATTTTTTCGCTTCAATAAAACAATATTTCTCCTTCTTGTTTGATTGCAGTTTCAACGGCGCGAATCAGCAAACGAAATTTTGAGACACGTATTGGGAAATCGGTCGTTGTAGCTGTTAGTTTGTCGGAACCACCAACGCATCGCACCGATTTCTCATTGTCATTTCGAGCAAAAGCAGCATACCGAGCTAGAGCAGTGCCACAACGTAAACAGAGTGCATACAGGGAAAGAAAAACCGACACACCAAACCGACCCTTAACGTACGACAATATTGCGGCGTACAGTAGCAGCGGTAGCAACAGCAACAGCAAGTGGGGTAGCAGAGCGGACGAAGAAGAAGACCTGCAAAAATAAAACGCCAACAAGATGTCATCACCCAGCGCTGGTAAGCGTCGTATGGACAATGACGTCATCAAACTAATTGAATCCAAACATGAAGTAACCATACTGGGTGGCCTCAATGAATTCCATGTGAAATTCTTCGGCCCACACGGGACACCCTACGAGGGTGGCGTATGGAAGGTGCGTGTCTACCTGCCCGACAATTACCCCTTCAAATCGCCCAGCATAGGGTTTGTGAATAAAATTTATCATCCGAACATCGACGAATCATCCGGCACCGTGTGCCTGGATGTGATCAATCAAGCATGGACAGCGCTATATGATCTCTCAAATATATTCGAATCATTTCTACCACAATTGCTGACATATCCGAATCCGGTTGATCCGTTAAATCGCGATGCAGCGGCGCTGTACTTGCACGAACCGGAGGAATATCATCGCAAAGTGGCCGACTATGTGCAGCGATATGCCACCGAGGAGGCGTTGCGTGCGGCGCAACAGGAGCGCGAGAGTAGCGACAGTGAATCGAGCATGTCGGATTATAGTGAAGATGAGGCCAGAGATATGGAATTATAATATCGGTTTATGGTTAAGCTAATTATATGAATTTGAATTACATTTAAAGCAAAAACAAAACAAAACAAAATAAAAACAAAAACAAAAACAAGAAAAGATAGAAACAACAAAATTAATAATACAAAATACAAAATGCAAAAAAAAGAAAACAAATACAAATGCATATAGTACATACAAACATATATACATACATACACGCTCACCTACTACTACGTAAATAAAAGAAAATGAGAGAAAGAAATATGCATATAAACGTACATACATACAAATATACATACATACAATACATGCAACATTCAACTACAATCCTACCTAATAATGCTGAGAAGAAGCAATGGCAAGGCAACAACAGCAACAATAAGTTAAATACATTAAAATAGCGTTAAAAATGAGTTAAGCAAATAATAATGAATGGAATTTTGGAAATCATTTCAAATTTGAAATCTTTGAAGTAAGCTCTGGACGCGCTCATCGCTCAGTATGCGCATATGTACGTAGATGCATACATATGGATATGATGTTGCAAGTTTGTATGTGAGAGCAGCTGTACAAACACGCATACGCAAGGCAGCTTATTTGACAACAAAAGTAGCAACAACAATATATGTTTGCAAAATTTCACTATGCCACCAGCATACAGATGTACATACATATGTATATACAACACACAGAAACAAAGCCAAGGATATATTGCCAACATGCCAACCAAAACAGTGGAGGAAGCAGAACAAGCAGAAGAAGCAGAGGAAGCAGACCAATCAATGTCAATGTCAAGCGCTGAGTGCCACTGGTGGTTGAAAATGGGCAATGGGTGCAGCAGCAGCAACAACAACAAAATCTGCAATTCAATTTATAAGAAAAAAAAAACCCGCCTGAAAATGGAACAGAGCGCAGTAGCTGCCGCATGCAACAACAAACTGGCCGAAAGCAAAAACAACAATCAACAGCTATAAAATATAAAATAAAAATGTTGAATAATATTATTCACCACGGTCGCTGGGTCGCTGGTAAAAAAGAATAAAAAGAAACAAAAACGAAAAACAGCAATAACAACAACAGTAGCAAGCAGCAGGTGGAAGTTATGGCAAAGCAACAGCTTAAGTTTGTGGTGGTCAACAACAACTAGAAATAATAGTAAAAACCAAAAACAACATCAAGCGATGCAAAAAAAAAATATGTGGAATAGTAGCAGTAAATAACAACAACATTTCGGCTGCAACTACCCCGTGCAGCATATCTAACATCATCATCATCATCAGCATCATCATCAGCATCAGCATCATCATCATCAGCATCATCATCATCAATCATCATCATGTTTCCAATCATCACATTGTGCATACAGCAATCTCATACATACATACATACATATGCAGCATATTAACAGAATAGCAGGACAGCTGCGGCGAGGCGAAGAGAAGTAGGAGGAGGGAGGGGGAGCGTTGGTGTAGCAGCCGAAAAAAAATATGTTTTATGTCAAATATAAATTTTCCATTCAATTGTTGTAAATTTAAGCAAATGTACTATTTTGGAATATTGGCAAATTTTATAATTTTAAGCACTGATCCTTTTATAACTCGTAAGTCGCCATTCAAAACATTCATAATAATGATTATTTTAATTTTTATTAATATTAAACGTTTTTTTGTTTTTTTTTTATTTTATTTTTTTTTTTTGTAAACTAGAGTATATTTTTGCATATTTGATTTGGTGAATGTGTTTGCAAAATAAGCAGCAAAAAACGAAAGAAAAATGTCTAAATAAGTTGAACAAAAAAAAAAAAAAAATCANAAATACAAAAAAGTACTTTAAAAAAATGTGAAAAAAAAAAAAAAAAAAATCAATTAAACCAAACAAATGCATACATTTTATTCTAAGTCTTTTTGAAATAGATTAAAAAAAATTTAAAAAGAAAATTAAACAAAAGCAAAAAGAAAAAAATCAGTTGTTTTTATATTTCACAAACTTCTGCGTCGATTGCTGTGTTGCACTTCAATGAGGGGTTTAGTGTTGCTGTGTTGGATTTTTTGAATTTAAAATAATTTTTTTTTTTTTGTGAAATTTTTAACAAAACGTGATTAAAAATAGTTTTAAACAAACGAGTTTTTGCTTAAAATTTTTAGTGAGACAAATTTACGAGCCTGCGATTTTTTACGCTAGTTTTTTTAGCTCAGAATTAATAACTCAAAATTGATTATCCTTGGTAATTTTGTGATTACACTGGCCAACAAAATTGAAACTTTTTTTCTGACGCATGCAAACTTACAAATATAAACCTTTGCATGTACTAGGACAACCTTACATAAATATATCACCACAAATGTACATCATTTCATTGTGACATCAAAACATCTTTCTATAAAATGTAGTTGGCACTTTGTAGCCGCTGAAGCGATTTTCGGCCGAGCTCTTCCTCCAATTTGTGGTATGCGTTTGATGTTTTTCCAAAAACTGGGGAGACCATCAGTCTATTCTATGCCGCCACTGAACGGCCGAGGAATTGATTACGACAAGTTTTAATTTCAAGCAAAAAATGCCCTCAGGATGGCGGCGGAAAAATAAATATTAATTATCTATTGTATAATTTTGGGCGTTGGTCGAACAATTTCAAACCGAGCCTTTATTTCCGGATACCAGTGCGCTATTTCGATCACTCGGCTAATGTAACCACCAGCAAAACATTTATTTTTCGAAAGAAAAAAGTTTACACTTAGAAAAATTTTAGTGAATATTTTGCTTGTGGTAGATCCCTTCTAAGTCTCGAACAATAACCTGCTAGCATTCCTGGACTTGAATTTTCTCTGAGAAGTCTTTTCCATTAAGGAAATGTTCTGATGGAACCTCTCACCTTGTTCATTACTCACAGCACAGAAACTTGCCGGAAAGAAAACCAAATGAGAGTGTGGCACATTTTCTGATTTATGGTTTCCAAGAAAGTTCTGGACAACATTCACAAGCCATTGGAAGGCATTCTTTTCAATTCTGTCTTTTTACCTCGCTAGGTATCGGGTCCCCATCTGGAAATACCGTTTCGTGCTGATTTGGAACAAATTAGTCGATTGAGGTTTTAGCACAGGCAGGATGGCTCTTGAGGCAAAATCTCTTCGAACATTGACACCAAGCTTTGCTTTCATTCAAATCATTGATCTAGCAAATGACAAAAGTCAGGCTTGTACTTTAGATCAATCTAATAGAAGTCTCACACAAAATCACACAATCCAAAATAATGATTTGAACTTTCGCTGAGATGGATCCAAAGATCCTTAGCCATCTTCATTGGCGCAATCGTCATGAGCAAGCGAATTCCTGACCACTGCAGAAGCCGTCACGTAGTTAGTAGTCTGCGATGGTATTTAGTGTGTGATTTAGTGAGAGAACCCTGTATTTCGTGACAGCAATACACGCGGAGGCTTCATTTTTGTTGTAGATTGAAGAAATAGTCGTAACCACGGTAAATATCACACACGATGTGAGTATAACTGTTCTCTGCAATTTACCTGCCTAAGACCAAACTTCTCCAGTAGGGCCAATAGAGAATAGCGTGGTGAGGCCACATGCAATCAGAAATCAACATTGTGGGAGCATCGACTACTTCTCTAATGACTTTTGTGGCAGCTGCGTGGGCGTAGATGAGGAGGAGCAGGTAATGCATTACCTCTGCCTCTGCATAGAGCTCAGTGCGTCGGGCATCGCTTACTATCGTTTACTCGGTAGTTTTTATATTCACTATTTTGCCAAACTTGCCTGTGCGTGTGTGAAAATAAATGGTTTGAACATCTAGAGAGGTGACCTCTTTTCACAAGCTGACCTTAGGTATCAAAACTGACCTACAAGTAGAAATGCGCTTGAACAGGGTTCCGTGATCGAACAATCTCCACAAAAAAACAACAATATTAAGTAGATACAACAATATTCAGTAGATACCGAAATGTTCAGAAGTATAAGAGTTATCGGCAGCGAATTTCAAGCCCTCCGAGTGTATTATTGACATGAAATAAAGCTCCTCATAAAAAAAAACCATCAGCCGTTCGGCGGCGGCCTGGTATAAACTGTAAATCGCAACATTTGTTGCAAGGCCATCAACATGCAGCGGAGGAGGGGCGTTCAAATGATATTTTAATCTGGTCTGTATGTCTGTTATCTTCCCTGTGTATGAGGGATCACCATGATGGAAGAAGGACCCTACGTATTCCATATTTTGAAAAAAGCAAAACGCTTTTATAAAAATCATTTCTTTTAATGATGTTTTTTACACTTTATACCGGAAATGTCCAAGACGATCTTTTAAAAAATGACATAAAATCTTCGAAATCTCTATGCTGTAGCTGAAGAGTATAACAATGTATAATGCTCCAATAGTTGATCTTGCATTCGAAGTCAGTAAGATTGATGATTATCATAATTTTTTGTTGTAAGCACGATTTGAAAATGAAAAAAATTGGATCTGTCCTCACACATAACTCATAAAAATTCGAAATTTCAATATTTTTAGTTCTTTTAAAACGCAGAAATAGATCTATGGCATACTTTTAGGCTAATATGTGGAATGTATGCATTTTCAAATATTTCGAAATGTGAACCAATTCAGAGAAGCTGGTTCAAAATTTAAATGTAGTATCCGAAATATATTGTAATTGGAAAAATTTGATCTAGTAAATTTCTTCCACCAAATATTTGATGCGCTCATTTTGTTTAAGTATTTTTTTGCTCAATGAGAATTTTTCAAATGTGAAGTTTTGGAGTGTGAGGTCGTTATAATTTAACAGTTTTTAAATAATTGAATAATGTATGGTATTTTTTTGCTTCTTATGTTGACTGTGTTATGTTTTTATAAAATCTTAATGCGCCTAAAACAATGCTATAATAGTTTAAATTATGCCTCTGCTATGGGTTGCTGTATGGAAAGGTGATTGACATCAATAATAATACATTATTTGCGTTAAAACGACATCAAGGATCGGGGAGAAATAATAATTGTGAAACATTTAAGGTTATGGTCGACAATAATTTGGTATTTGTAATCTAAGGGCTGTTTTAGAGTTTTGAGGTCCCGAGACTCGTAAGGAAGTTTGTATAAACTATTTGAATTCA